GGACAGAAGGGACATCACCATGAGCCCAGCGGGGAGATGAGGAGGGACAGGGAGAGGGAGCAGCCCAGCCCTGCTCATGGCCTCAGTGGGGGGACAAGGAGCGACCCTGTGGCACAGCTCAAGGCACAGTTATCCCAGAACTGGGGCTGCAATTCCTCCCTGGAACACCAGAGACCCTGAGAGAGCCCGGAGGGGACGCTGTGGCGGCTGGTACCACCCTGCAGGTGCAAAAGGACAGCGGGGATAGGACCAGGTGGGGATCCATCACAGGGTCTCCATGATCCTGGAGGTCTCTTCCAGCCTAAACGATTCCATGATTCTGAGTCTTCCTCTTGCTGCCTGGTCCTTTTCTAAGCAAATGCTCCAGACGCTTCCATTTCCTGAAATGTCTCTGGTGGTTTTTCAAGGGTGGGTGAAGCCAGTCAAGTGTTACTGCTCCTCCAGGGGCTGAAAGAAGCTGATAAATAGATTAACACTTTGTTTTCTCTGTTTCCTTTCTCCCACAGGTCTACCCCGCACCAGGAGCACTGGGGCCCCCGGCAGCCATCGTGACCCTTCCCCACCTGCAGCACCACGGGCCAGCCTACCTGTACGTAGGGGAGCCGGGCTATTTGGGTGTCATTTGCTGTGGCCTCGGCAGGAGCCTGCTCCGGCCAGGCAGGAGGTGCAGACAGCCCGGAGCACAGCTGGGATCCAGGGGCAGATCCATGTGGGAACGGCCCTGGCTGCTCTGAGCCGGGGTGGCAGAGATTCCAGAGCTGAGTGCATCTTCCTGCCTCGCTGCAGGCTCCATGGAGAAACGGTTCTGCCTGCTTGCTGACAATACATTTTAATTTAGGTGTAAAGAAACTAATTACTCCTTAAGTGCCTCTAGTTATTTATCCTGAAACCTTCATGGCCACTGGTGTTTTGAACAATCCAATTTCTGAAAACTTTCATAGAGTTAAAATCTGCAGATAACACTCTATGATGATTACATCAAGGGAAGAGTCACCACCCTGGCATTTAGTAAAGCATCTGAAATAACAGCAGCATCACAACACGCTGTTGACACAGCACTCAGCACCCCTGGTGCAGGCCAGGTCATGGGAATGCTGGTGCACCCACAGCTCAGTGCTGTGCTGGGACCCACACACACCACCATCAGTCAGCCAGGACTCCAGCGCACAATAACCCAAGGCACAAGAGAACTCCCAAGACCTTAAAACAGTTTGCAGAAGGACGGTGTGAGAGCGTGGCACCAGCCTGGTGTGCACAGGGGCAGTGTCAGAGCAGCCCTGCAGGGCCTCCCCTCCAGGTGACTCTGAGCAGCTCCTGGGCACACCCAGAGCCCACCTGGGCTGTGCCAGCCCCACGGAGCCGCCCCACACTCACTGCCCCAGCAGGGCACACCTTCAGGTGCCTGTGCTGAACTGCAGGGAGAGAGAAAGAAACCCCCTGAGAGTCCTGGGGCAGCCCTGGCTATCCCAACACCCCATCCATTGTTTGTTTTGTGAATAACACCTGATACTTGTGGTGTTGGGCTGCAACGCATTGATTCTTGGAGCAGATCACATTCCCTTTGAAAAAAACAACAGTGCATTCAAATGTGTTACACTGGAGACAAATTCAAGTTCTTTAAGGAACAGATAGGGAATGGTTTTGAAAAATGCACCGTTTTCTTTTGCTGCTGTTTTGCTGTGTGCTCACACGTGGGTCAGAGGGAGGAATGAAACTTCAGCTCCTGGTCCCAATCCCAGAATCACAGCAGAGAAGTCTAGGGGGGATTTCAGACCAATTCCTAGTCTGATTTCCTCACTACCCTGGAGTGGGGCCATGTACCTCCTCCTACCTCCTGCTCTGTCCATTCTCTGTGGCCTCCAGGGGCTGCCACTGCTGTCCCTGTGCTCCAGGCAAGGAGGAGGAGGCAGGGAGGAAGGGAGGCAGGGCAGGAGTGCTGCTCTTCCCTGGGCCTCCAACACCTCCTGGGGATGCTCCAGGCAAGCAGATCGAGGCCTCTGGTTTCAAAGGCAGAACTGCCTGATGCTATCTTGAACACAGCACCATAACTGTGCTCTTTCAAGAGCTTTGCCTTAGGACAGGTACTTGTCAGGCCCTGATCCGTGTTTCTGATGGAGCACTCGCTGTGTGAGGTGCAGAGCAGCACTTTCCTCCTTCCCAGCACTTGTCACCCTGGGCTGGCACTTCTGGGAGAGAAACCCTCCTCATGAGCTGCTTTGTTCTGCATTCCTGCTGGCTCTTCTCTTATCCACGTCCCCTTTGGCCTGAGGTGACAAGCGCTTTCCTCCCTGCGAGTTCTCTCCACAAACGCTCGAGGAAGCCCTGGTTGAAGGGCTCCGAGCCCAGCCAGGAACATCCTCCCCCTGCACTGTTAAACTGTGGAGCTCTGGCACAGCCAGCAGCATCCTCCCCTGTACTGTTAAACCACAGAGCTCCGGGGTGCTCTGGGCACAGCCAGCAGCATCCTCCCCTGCCCGGTTAAACCGCGGGGCTCCCAGCACAGCCAGCAGCCTCTCCCCCAGCCCCGTTAAGCCGCAGAGCTCCGGGATGCTGCAGCCGCCCTGCCGGGCCTCTCTCCCTGCCCTGACAGCCTCTCTCCCCAGGTGCGTGGCTCTGCACTCGTACGCGGCGCACGGACCGGACGAGCTGGAGCTGCAGAAGGGAGAAGGGGTCCGTGTGTTCGGCAAGGAGCAGGACGGGTGGCTGCGGGGCATGTCCCTGGTCACCGGCAGGGTCGGCCTCTTCCCCAGCAACTACGTCAGCCCCCTCTTCAGGTCTGGCACTTCTTACGTGGAAATAAACGGGCAGAGGGAAGGGGGTGACAGAGAACTTGGGGTCTTCTTGTTTCCACGGAGAGCCCAAGGCAATGCATCCCCCAGTCCTGACAAGGGACCCCCCAGGACTGAGCAGGGCCAGGGGTCCCTGGCCAGGTGGGATGGCACCCGGCAGCCCTCGCCCTTCTTTTCCAACAGGAAATCCAGTCTCACCGACTCGAAGATGCCTTCCCTGTACACCTCCTGGACGCTGTCCACGTCCTCGCTGTCCTCGCAGGGCAGCGTGCCCGAGGGCGGCCCGCGGCAGAGCCGGGCCCTGCGGCCGCTGCTGCTGCCCGTGCCCATCCCGTGCCCCGGCCGGGCCCCGGCCCCGCTGCGCCGCGGCCGCGGCAGCGCCAGGAGGAGTGAGTGAGGGGGAAACAAGGGTCACATCCCCCGGGAGGGAGTGAGGGGGAAAACAGGGGTCACATCCCCCGGGAGTGAGTGACGGGGAGCGAGGGAACAGGGACACAACCAACACATCCCTCAGGAGTGAGTGAGGGGGGAAACAAGGGTCACATCCCCCGGGAGCGAGTGAGTGAGTGAGGGGGAGCGGGGAGAACAGGGTCGCACCCTCCAGGAGGAGTGAGTGAGTGAGGGGGCTCAGGGGGGAGCAGGGGACACATCCCCCAGAGCACACCAGTGCTGCGGTTCATGGTCCCTCAGCCCCTCCTGGCCCCGACTCTGGGGAATTCGGGAATTCCGGGGATGTGACTCAGCATGGAGAAATTCCTGCAAAGCTTTGTGCAGAGCTCGGTGGTTACGTTCTTTACAAGGAGGCCGCAAGGTTTATCTTCATCCCATACGCGCTGTTTTGTAATTCACTTCCCGAGTATTTGGGGAGCCGGGTGTGTGTTCCCAGCTCCGGCAGCAGAGCAGCTCCCGCAGGCAGCAGAGCCGTGGCAGGGGCCGCTGTCAGACCTTTTACACCCGAAATGGGTCCCGGGGCACAGGGGCGGGCACGGGGTGGTCCCTGGAGGCTGCGGCCCCAAGGATGCTGTGAGCGGGGCTGTCGGTGCGGGGCTGGTTATAACCGCTGCTCTCTCTGCACATTCTGGGTTCCTGACTAAATGCTTTCCGCGGTCCTTGCTCCGCAGACGGATCCCTGCAGAGGCCGGGCCAGGCGGGGACCCCCGTGCAGATCACCGGCTCCCTCCGGCGCCCCTCGGCTGCGGGGCGAGCTCAGCACTTCCAGCTGTACCCGCACAGCGTCCCCGGCACGGACGAGACAGAGAGGCCAAACCCCTCCTATGAGGGTACCCCGGCGCTGCTGGTCAGGGGAGGGGAGAGCCGAAGCCCCTCGGTGTGCAGCTCGGTGATCCTGGACGCCAAAGAGCCCTCGGTGAAGAGCGAGGCCGCTCCAAAGCCGCCGGCGTCAGCCCCGCCGTCCATCCTGGTGAAACCAGAAACGTCCCGCAACAGCGCCGAGAAGGTACCGAACCCCCCCTACCCCAGAGCATCCCCGCGGAACCGCAGCGGCTGCCCAAACCAGCCAGGGCCAAATCCCCGAGGGCTCTGCTCCAACCGCACCAATTCCTTCCTATAGAAATCGGGGGGGATTGACACACGCCTTAGGAAATCGGGGTTTGGTGCTGCTGTTTAGATTAGGCCCTGAGGAAAGGCAGGGCTCTGCAGGCGCTCTGTCCCTGTCACCCAGCTCAGTCACAAGCAAATCTCGAGACTTTTCTGAGGTCATAAATTGAGCAAAAATCTGTGAGTTTGGGAGCAGCGCCACAGAACTGCTGTCAGGCAGAGCTTTGCAGAACTCCCCCATCTCCCTCATGTCACTCGGGCTGAGCCATTTGGAATGGGAATTTCTTTCCCGTTTGGCAGCCAGAGATATATCTCATAAAGCTTCCCTCTCCCATAGTACCCAGAGCCCTGCCCAAATCGTTCCACATGCCCCCAAAAGCCCAGCC